TGATCATGCAAGTACTATAAACGTTCATACTGGACAAATATCAGCAATCCATACCAAATTTATGATATTTTTGAAGCCTATTTTGTATACAACCTGTATTGTATTGAAAAAAGCATGGTCTTTATACAGAGGTTTGAACTGAAATAACTGCCCTTTAGAGACAGGTGACCTTTATAATCAGGTTAAAATCCAATGAAGAATGCCTAAAAAGTTAATAGAATCATTGCCCTTTAAACACAGATTTAAATCTGAAGAAGAATGGAAAAATAGCAACTATATGTATATAGTCACTGCTCTTTATAGACATATGGTCTTTATACAGAAGCAGGTCAACTTATAGACAGGTAACTTTCATACAAAAGTTAAAACCCAAAGAAGAATGGATAAAGAGCCACTATAACCGCTGCCTGTTAAAGACAAGTGGTCTTTATATAGAGGAAAAACTGGAACTACCACATATTATAGACATTTGGTCTTTATAAAGAGGCAGGAACTGAAATCATTGCCCTTTATACACAGGTGACCTTTATACATATGTTTAAATCCAGAAAAGGATTGATAAATAGCAACTATAACTATAACTGCTGCCCTTTATAGACAGGTGACCTTTATACACAGGTTTAAATACAAAGAAGAATGAATAAATAGTAATTATATGTATAGTCACTACCCTTTATAGACAGGTAGTCTTTATTTGAGGTGAAAAAATCTAAATCACCACAATTTATAGACATGTGGTCTTAAAGCAGAGGTAACCATTTAGTAATATGCATCATACACAGCCGACACAAGTACAGGAATAGAAACTGGAGATACCATACACTTTATACAGAGGTCATCACAGGAACATCACATTTTACAGACATGCAGTCTTTATACAGAGGTTTAAATACGCTCTGTTTAAATCTGAAGAAGAAGGAACAAATAGTGCTGGGCTCAATGCCCTTTAAAACCAGGTGATCTTACTACAAAGGTGTTAAGACTGGAATCACTTCATAGACAGGTGGTTTTTATAGAGAGGTTTAAATATAATGAAGTATGAACAGTTATAATGACCTGAAATTTACTGCCCGTAATAGATAAATGGTCTTACATTGTAGGCTCAATTACAAAGGAAAATATATCTGAAACTTGAATTACTGTCCTTTAAAGACAGGTGGTCTGATATTGTAGGTTTAATTACAAAAGAAAATATATTCGAAACTTGAATTACTGTCCTTTTTAGACAGGTAGTCTTAATTATATTGTAGGTTTAATTACAAAAGAAAATATATTCGAAACTTGAATTACTGTCCTTTTTAGACAAGTAGTCTTAATTATATTGAAGGTTTAATTACAAAAGAAAATATATTCGAAACTTGAATTACTGTCCTTTTTAGACAGGTGGTCTTATATTGTAGGTTCAATTACGAATGAAAATATATCCAAATTTTGAAATACATGTACTGTCCTTTTTTGACAGGTGGTCTTAATACACACGTTTTTACAAAACCAGCTGAAACTCAAGTTTAAGCAAGGCTGATATTTGCTGGTAATATATATACAGCATTCATCTGTATTTGAAATGTAATTAGAAAAGAAGAAATTAGTTTATTAATTACATTACTTCAACTCTTTTCACAAGATTTCAGTGGGCCTATCAACTTTTTGCATAGCTTAATTTTTTATTGTTGGTTCAAAATCTATGCTCATAGAGACTTAAATGGTGAACTTGCTTAACAATCTGAGACAAAATTGATGAACTTACATTCTCACAGGAGATTAACAGTTACTGTCTTAACAAATTTCTCATGTAAATGTATAATGGCAGAGCTAAACATGGGTAAAAGTTTCCTTTCCACCAAAGACATATATACGCAATGTGAAGTATGATATAACATTTGTTGTGTTGATTGATTGCTCAATTTACCAAAGACAACATGAGGCAAGCAATTGAAATGGATTCTAGCCATTTATCCAACATTGTTCTTGAACATTTCTGTTCTTGGCCCTTCACACATACGTACTGAGCTTCAACCATGTACTATATCATTAAGCCATCATGCACCATTCAGTTTGTCAGTGACACCTGTGGCAGTTAACTCATTCACCCCTGAAATTTCATAATGGACTATTCCAACCTTTGAATTGGAAGAGTTCAAATGTGTCTTCAGGGGTGAAGGAGTTAATATACCAGTAGGTCTGCCACATTCACACAGTACATTAATATTGCTTTAAATTTTGTTTTTATATGAAAAAAGTTGTTATCAGTGAGGGCAGGTCAATAACCAGAACAGCTAAAGGAACAGCAGACACCATGAACAGTTTCCTGCTCCATATTGAGAGATAAAACAAAGCTATCATTTTGCTTTGTTCATTTTGAGTTTTCAGAAAATGAATAATACTTGAAATATACAGAATGATCATGTTTAATCAGCATTGAATAAAGTGTGGGGTAACATTTTAAACAAGAGGCCCATGGGCCTTAACGGTCACCTGATATATTTATACAGAGAGTTGATTTCGTTTTTAACATGAACAGAAATATTATTCAAAGTGACAAAAAACAATAAAACCACCTTATTCAATATCAAGCATACAGATTTCAGACTAAAAAGGATTTGAAACTAGCACCTCTGATTCTAAACAAGGAAAATGAAGAAATTTTAGCACACTGACTCCCTTGAGCCCCACCCTACAGCCCTTGGGGGTAGGGCTGGCTCAAAATTTTCAAAGTATCAAACTGTCAACTCAAGGTTATAATTCCAATCAAGTTATTAACATGTAATATTCAAA